AGATTCTCGAACAAAGTTTCAGATTGGAAGAACCCAGAAAAAGAAAGGCAACGCAAAGGCAGCGGCAAGTGCTATGCGTACTCGTATCTTTCAGCTACACATACAGCTGCAAAAAGGTGTGCAAGAAGTTGATTGAGGATTCACACAGACACCGAGGCACACACACACACACACACAGACAGACATGGGACAGACAGACGCGGGACAGACAGCATTCGTTTTTGCGCCTTTTTCTTGTTGCCCCTCGGAGGAACATGAAAGTTGGCAGCTGTTGCCGTTGTCGTTGCCGTTGCCGCTGCCGCTGCCAGGATGCTGCTTCGGTGTTCGAACTTTTTGCAACAGCAACAGATACTCTCGTACTTTCATGTTTCGCTGAGAGTCTCTGTATCTTTTTATCTTTCGTTGGAACACATAGCATACTCAGAGCATAAGCTACACACACACTCATACACTCAAAATTGGGAATGTCTGCCACAGAAATGTACACCCATGCGGACACATTGTTGCCATGACTATGACGTAGCGTCGCCGTTTTAGCCAACATCTTTGCCTGCGGCTCGTACTGTCGTTTGGCTGTGCGTTGTACTCGTAATTTATGTTTACGCAGATCGAAAAATAAATCTTTATATATTGTTCTTCCTCTTGCTTTTGTTTGTGCTTCACCGAAACCGAAGAACGCGATAAATTTCTGCACAGCCAGGGAGGGCCTTTGAGATGGGCATTCATCGATAATGTCTGCGGATTAAAGTTGAGAGCTCTCTCAGAGGACAGCTAGCTGCGGTCAGGTCAGCTTTCTTGCCCTTAACTTTTCTTCAATCCAAAATTCAGCCTCCGTTTTATAAAAATTCCATTTCTTCCATGACGTACACAGACCTTCCCCCTTGAACTTGAACTGCTTTTCACCACTGCTTATTCTTGAACTGCTTCTTATTATCATTATCTGCTGGAAATGGAAATGCGAAGCGAGTACGGGCAATAACGGGAAAAAGCACCCGTGAAATCTTATCGCCGTAGAGTGATTGTTGAGGAGGGGTTCGGCGGCGGCCAAAAACAAATGCCAAGCAATTAATGTGACACCAACAACAGCAACAGCAAGCATAGCAGCGGAGTATAAGCAACGCAGTAAAACGTTAGAGCAACCAAAGAAGCAAGCAGCGCAGCCAAGCACCCCAAAAGCCCCAGCTAATGATAATCGGCAAACGAAACGAAAACGAAACGACAACAACAACAATCTAAACCTAAACGATGTGACCAAAAACAACAAATCAATTGAAGCCCAAAATAAAAGAGCAATTGAGTGAGAAAGAGAGCGGTGTGTGTGCGTGCTAAGAGCAACAAGCAGGCAGAGAGTTAACAGCAAGCAGTGACAGTGCTGTTAACAGGGAATTCCCTCTTTTATGTTATACGCTCTGATTAAAGGCAGTTTGGCAGGTGCATGTATGTGTACGTGTGTGAGAGAGAGAACGATAGGCTACAATTTAAAAGGAAATTAAGCATAAAAAGTGAATAACTTTTGATAATTGCCATGTCAGCGTTTTGGCAATCCATTTTCTGCTCGTTCAACTGAACACAAAGACACACATGCATACATCCAAAGAATGTTTACGTGTGTCAGATTAGGGGACTAGTTCAACTGTTGAACACTGATTTGGGGGTGGCGCCACTTGAGATCTCGCATAGCTTTCAGCCGGAACCTTCTTGGAATTCATTTCATCTAAATTACTTAGAAAAAAAAAATAATTTAAGTGTTTCATAGCCTAGTATCGCTCATTAAACTGATAGCATGCATATCAATGCTCACACCATCAGCATTTAATAGTTCCGCTGAATCCCACAGTGATAAGAGCGTGGACTGGCAGATAGCGATGCCATCCATTGTGGTGCTGACTTCCACAAGTCGCCCCTCAGGAATTTCAAAACTTCTGCTCCAGTTATGCCTGCCCACCCCCCAGCCGGCACTCTTTCCCCGTGAGAAGTCAGAGCTATTCAAATGACAGGCTTCCCCGCGGGGTTATGGCCTTCCGGCCAAGTCCCACACGCACAAAGGGGGCCAAATTCCTGTCATAACTCGTACTTCAGCTCCAAGTATCTCCAAGCTCCATGTGGGTCGCACAGCCGACATTTACAGCTGGCCCAAAACCCACCAGCACCAGAAACAGACGCAGAGCCTGTATGCAAATCCATATCCACTCACACACACGCACACACACTCGCCTATAGATTTTCTCGTATTGCATACACAATACATATAAATTTTTTTTTTTTAGGTGTCTTTATAATATGTGCAGCAGCTGCAAAAATTGGCAGCCACGACCAAATTGCGCAGAATGCATTTTTTTATTTTTCGCTTTTTTTTTTATTAATTTTTGTATGTCTCTTGGATTAAACAAAGAACAAAATATTTATTGTTAATGCTATTTTTGTGGCACAAGTGCCGCCGCAAGCAAACCGAAAACAAATTGCCAAAAACTTGTCCGAAAATAAATCAAAGAAACTGCAGCGTAATTACGCAATCAACAGGCAGGCCACTACGTCACCAGACAAAAAAGAAAAGTGAATTGCTAATGAAAACGAAAACGAGGAATGGCAGCCAAAGCACAACAAATTCTAAAACATATGTACGTACGTTTATAGATAGATGGATTTTAGATGAACCGAATTGCGAAGTTTTGAAATTAATTTCTGTGACGCTTTTCATGGCTGAACTGTGGCTGCTGTTGTGTGGAGGGTTCCCGTAAACTTCTGTGCTCTTTGCTCCTTTGTCAAATTATGAACTCTTCTATCGTGCCTTTAATTCTCATTCTTAGATCCACTCTGAACGCTTGATAAACCGCAAAACGACAATAAAACCCAAACTATAATCTTCTGGAAACGCTCTTTCCATTCCCATGTTTACATCGAATAAAATCTCTAAAAATAAGAAGCGCGCAATATCTGAATCATTTCATTTGGCTGCCTTCTCTCTAGAGACATTACTCATACGCCCCAGTGCCCAGGGTAGATGGTTATGATGGCATCAGCAGCACCGAGCTTAGCTCATGCCGAGAAGCGTATGCGTAATGAGCCGCAAATGTTAATTGTTCTATAAACATTCGAGGCAGCAATTAGTAAAGCAACAACAACATTGCGGCTTCCCCGCACAGAAAGAGAGGACAGATAAACTGGTTGCAGCGAGGCATTCGCTTAACCAGTTTTTTCTGATGCCAAAATCCCAAAGAAAGAGGCTGAAAAGGCGGAATGGGATGGCCTGATGATGATGATGACGATGACGACGACGACATTGCCAATTTCAATCTGGTTGTGGCCTGGATGGGCATGTTTCCGCTTTGGGAAGAGCAGCAGACAAAGTTGGTCGCCAGCAAGTCGCGGCCATAAACAAGTGCGGCAGGTGGTAAGAAATAACAAAACCAAAGCCACGGGGAAGTTGAAGGTGAAGCTGAAGCGAAGTGAAGTGAAGTGAAGGAGGAGAGTCGCCGAGGCAGGCAGTGTGTCTCCCCTAGTGCCTTGCCCCGGTGCGTGCGCAATCGGGGCCGAGTTCTCATCTTCTCGGCTACCTGGTGCAACTTCTTTTCTGCACTTGGCATCAGGCTATGACTTCGGTTTATGCTGCTCTTGGCTGCTGCCTCTGCTGCTGCTGCTGCTGCTGCTGCTGCTGCTGAGTCAAGCAGTTGGCCAGCTGCCTGTCTGCCTTCATCGGTTGCTGTTTGCCTGGTTGCTGCTTTAATTTGCATGCAGGTTTTTTTCTCTCTCACTCGCTCTAAACTCTAAACTCTGCAGTTCTCTCTCGAGTTCTGCCCGAGCACACCACACCGTTCATAGCATACTTGGAGGGGTTGTGGCGAGGCAGGAGTGTAGGGGCCACAGCTTATCGATGATTCGTTCAAAGTGCAGCCACTCGAAGCGATTAAGTCCGAGTGCTTTACAACATCTCACTGACCGTACCAGAATTGACTTTTCACTGCTTCCACCATGGCAAATATTGATAAGAGTCCCTCCCCATTGAGCGACTTTTGCTTTATAGTCATATGAATGCCCTAGCTGGCAGAGGGTTCTACACATTTCAGGAGACAACATGTAACTGTCAAAAGTACAGTAACGCCCCAGGGATAACTGAGTATTATCGTATGTGAATCTACCATTAGATCGGTTTAGCCATCCTGGGATAGGGTATTCCCTTCGTCACTCTCTATGCAATTGATTTCGTTTCGTTGTTATTGCCACACACTCTGCTGGCTTATCAATCCCGTAAAGTGCGTCATTCGAGTGCCTGTGTGGTCACAGTCAGAATATGCCACAATACGCGTGCAGTGTTTTCCACAATTCCCAACGATTACTTTTGGTATTTTTAGAACGCCTTCCAAAAGGGAATTTCGCCACAATTTGCCAAGAAAAGAAACATATTTAGAGGCTATTTTTAGGCACTCATCAAATGCGTTTTTCACGTTTAATTTTTGCTAGAAAATTGCTCTCGCAAATATTTCAATTTATAGATACACACCAATACACCCCTCTATACAGCGTGGTACACCCCCAACGATACGTAGATATATCTATTTTAAATTTAGCAAAGAGCGCTACAAAATTGGCTTGTAAACATTCTTGTGAAAATGAATTTTCAGCTTGGTTTGATGGCCTCCGTCTATCTGTCTGACGCTGTTTTGGCTTCTCCATGGCCCATGAAAATTGGCAAAATTCCGTCCGTCCCACTCCCTGTTGCTCTCTCCCCTCTTCCCCATTGTCTGCCATTTGAATTCTTTATTTACTATGTAGGAGGTGTGTTGCGCCATGTATTTTCCCCACATTTTCTTTTGCTTTCGCTTGGCCATTGGTTCTCTGGCGTCATCAAGTGAAATGTCAGTGTCAGAGCGTGGGTGCGGCAGAGGTTTTGATCTTGAAGCAAATTGCACTACTCGTAATTTCCCCTGCCACAGAGCATCTTAATCTCAATTTTCACAAGAACCATCGAAATTAATTGAAACAAACGTTTTGCTTTCTTTCAGAATCCACAGTAAACTCGCGCAAGAGTGCTCTGGAAACGGCGCGTGAAAAGCTGAAAGGTGAGTGCTTGGCAAACAAGGGAACATTATCGATTAATGATCGATTTTTGTGACAAATATTAATTGGCTTCGATGACTCTCTTTGACTGAATCTATCGTTATCACAGCGAAAAACTGTAATTAATGCTCTTCATTTAACCTCCAAAAACATAACACTTATCGGTACTTGATTGGTGTAATCGACCGATGATTGCTATGCAGCTTAAAAGCCACCACAAATCACTGAGTATCGCCACGATGAATGTGTGTGTGTACCCTCAGAAACTCCAATCTCAGTAATCTCACCTATGGGCATGGAGTATGTGTATGTATGGGTATATTTATATCACTGATAATTCAATCAATACATAGTATAAGCAGCTGCCGTGACTCATTTGTAGAACTTGCAATCAGTGCATTGCTATCACAGTCCATAAAACAAAAGAAAAAGTTCAATTTATAATCGATGTCACACAGAAACGAACTGAAAATACATTTGACAATCGCAATTGTGGCTCATAGGAATGACCTTCAGGGGGTGGCGCACAACGACAAAAAAGAAAAGTGAAATTGGAAATAAAGATGGGGCTCAATGGGCTGGCTAAAAAAACAACACACACACTGACAGTGTGTGTGTGTGTGTGTGTGTGTGTGTCTGGCAATATTGATAAAGTGCGTGCCCTGTACATTGAAACGAATCGAATCGAAGAACCGCTGAGAGCTCCAATTGTGATAAGGCCAAATGGCGTGATTCATGTCCCACACTCACTCCACATTCCAATAAATAAATAAATAATCTATAAAGTATATCAACAATAAGCTCGGTATCTATGCGAAAGCTTATCGGGAAAAGATTACGAGCTTCTGGGACATACTTATGGATACTTTTGGCAGTCAAACGCATTTCACTTTCATTCCGATAAGCTGAAACGTGACGTATGCAGATACGGACACACTTTCGTGTGATATCGTAATAGATAAAATGTCGCCTGTTTTTAAAGCAGTTTTTCATATCACTTTTAGGGTTCATTTCGGTCACTAATTATAAAGGTATCGATCGCCAGCTCAAAGATACATTTATGCTGCCACTGCCAGGGATTTTCACCAGAAGTGAGCACAGGCCAATGGGCCATCTACCTGTTTGGGCCGAATCGTTTAAGTGTTGCCACCTTTAATTGCCGGACAGCCGAACAGGATCTGCCCTGCCTGCATGGTCTTGGTCTTGGTCTAGCGCCAGGCTCAAGTGCCTCAAGTCAAGTGGCAGTGTAAGCCCAGGATAATCCTCTTGCATCCCTTTGCATTGATGATTTTATGGGTTTTACCCGGGAAAAGCTGTCGTCGGCTCATTCTATGTACTGCACGTGTAATGATGCCATTCCGTCTGCTTGAGGTTCTCTTTTTTTTTTGTGTTGGCCTGAACACAGGTAACAGAAACAGTCGCGCAAATCCATTGACGCAAGTGATTAAGCTGTCTCGTTGCTGTCTGGGCCAGTACTGAGCCGATTCAATTAGCTGACATCTGAGGCTATAAACAGCTGCTCTGCGGGCTGGCGTATGCAAATATGCGGCGGCCATTATGGCCAACAAAATAACAAATCCCAGAGTGCTCGCTGCACTTGCAAATATCTAGAATCTAGATGCAGATACACAGATACACAATCAGAGTATCCGGAGAGTGGAAGAGGCAGCTGAACATTCCACGGCATATTTTCGTTGGCGTCACCTCCGTCTACGTCTGCGATCGTTTTATTTACTGCTTTTGCTCTCCGCTCTCCGCTCTGCTGTGCTGTGCTGTTTTGTGCTTAATTTAAAGCGGTTTCATAGACGCCACAAGTACACCGCACGTCGGACAACGTCGTGGCAAAGAATGTGTATAAAAGTATCTGCGTGTCTGCTGGCTGTATCTCCGCATCTGTAGCTCTTGCTCTTGCTCTTGCTGTATCTGTATCCGTGTGCCTATGTTTGCGTTTGTGTGTGCAAAAGTCGCCAAACTGGCGATTCCCAATCAGCCGCAGCAACAGAGCCGACATCGACATCGTCAGTTTTATTTACACACAAAACACACAGCGCACAGAGCGAATGACAATCGAATGTTGAATGTTAAAACGGGGAATGGGAAATACTCTAGGAGTATCTGTAAATAAATTCAGCAAAGTTGGAGCTGCACCTAAAGGATTAGATACTTTTGAGACAGCACAAAGCACGAGACATAAACATGAAAACTGTTTTATTCGTATACAAGGATTGCCCATGTCACATTTCTGGTGACACAGAATATTAAATAGATGGAAATATTCTTCTACCAATTCCATTTTAACCCGATTCAGACAGTGGCTTTGGCTTGGCTTTGGTTGTGTTGTGTTGTGTTGTGGCCAATGGGGCATTTGTCATAGTCACAGCTTCTTCATTGCCTTTCCCTATTTGTGGTTGCTGTTGAATTGTTGAAATAAACTAAAATAACTGAAACCAAACACGGGATTTTTGTTGGCTGTCGTTGTTTTCCCCTGCAGCACTCTTTACCTTTTGTTGACTAGCTGCCACACACACACACACACACACACCCCACCCTACGCTTTGTTGACTGCCACTGCCCCAGAGCTAGCGTTGCGTGTCAACAAATGAGCAATCAACAATATTATAATAGCCAAGTTAAGCGGCCAGAAACACTCGACACCCAGAACGCACGGCGGGTCGGACATATTCGACATTCGGATTTCAGTATTCAAGATTCGGCATGGCACTCGGTATTGCTTGCCTGAAATAATGCCTGAAGCGTGTAGGTCGTCGGTTGACTAAGGTCTAGGCGTCTAACGTTTATTTATTCAATGCTGACGCATGCAGCAGTAGTCGTAGTGCCGCCATCACCAGGCTGTCTGACTAAGAAATTCTAGAAATCAACGATAACCCGCGCATACTACTTATTATATTTGAACGAAAGGCCAACTGAAAGAAAAGGGGAGTAACTTGATTTATCCATTATTGATTAGTTGCAGTCTTTGGGCTGAAAATATAAACACACCTCGACAGATAGCAATAGCAAACACAAATTTATCGATCATACGGGGAGAGGGCACTGCCACTCCCATCTAAGACTCCATCCAACCCACCTTGTTTTGAGTGCCACTTAATGCTCCTGCTCAAAAATTATCTGTTTTAGTTGGTTGCCAGCTCAAACCAACACACAATCTCTCATTAGGTTCCAGAATCGATACGCCCATAACTATGCAATGCATAATTAAGTGGACCCCAAGCGATATTTGCCTTACGACGATAATGTACCCTAATTATGTGAAGCGGAAATTCGGTCAAACAAAATGTGCCTCCCATCCAACCATCACCATTAGATGCAGAAAGAGAAAGCTATGGTTCTATTGGTGTGCCTGAAATTGTTGTAAAATCGAGAATAAGCAAAGGGGAAAGTTGGTGTTTAGTTCAATTTTATTGCAGATATTCTAGTACATGTTCTTTTACACTAGTAAATATTCTGTTTTCATGATTATGATTCTCTTTTTGCATTATAGTCCTTCCTCCCTTCATGCTCTTTTGTTCGCTGCGCATTCAATTAGTTTTGATTGTCGCTTTTTCCCTTGTCTCCCGCCCGTTGACGACGATGCTGATGCTCCTCAATTAAAGAATTTCGCTCGATTGATTACGCTTAATATCGATGACGAAGACCGTGATGAAGAGACGACGCCACCTAGCCCCAGGCACCCCCTTTCCCTGCTCTCCCTGTCTCTCTTTATGTCTCTCTGTCTGTCCTGCTCAAGCAGTTCAAGTGAATGGTCAAACCTGTTTCGGGGCTGCCACAACAGAACGCAGCACACAGCAGTAGCAGCAGCAACAACAACGGCTTGGCATCATGGGCAGTTGGGGGCATGTGCACGAGCGGTAATAATAACAAAGTTGGAGCCGCCAAATGCAACAGAAACAAGAGCTCGATGGCAAACTACAAAAGTCGAAGCTTTTGATACCCTTTCAAATCGTTTCCATGGAAGAATATGGGGGAATGGAAGGACAGATAACTCTTTCTTATGGTCAAAGTCAAGGTACCTTCTGCAGTGGCAAGGGTACACATAAACGACGACGTCGCCAATATTGCTGAACGGCCCAGACATGATCACGTCGCCGTCGCTTTGTCGATTGTTGTTGGCTCTTTCTTTCTCTTTCTCTGTCTCTCTCTCTATTTGTGTCTCTGATTGTTTGTGTTGTCTGCGTTGGAGCTGGAGCCTCTGTCGATGTTGCTGCCGCCGCTGCAGTCGCAGTCGCCGCCGCTGCTGTAATTGTCGCCACTTTGGCGGCACTGGCGATCGTAGCTTCTGGTTGCAATGTTTCCCCGCCGCACCGTCTCTCCTGTAATCGACCAAAAACGACGACGACTGTTTTATGTAGCGCTTAATGGTTTCATTCGACGGCTGAGAAGAGTGGCTCCCCTCTCTGTGTGTTTGTGTGTGTGTTTGTATTGATTACCCAATGCGTGAATGAGTAAGAACTCTTTGGGGGCGACGTACGCTGGCTGCAGTCGCTGCCTGTGCTGCTGCCCCTGCAGTTTGGGGCCAGCCACTTGTGCCTATTTATGTTTCGCGAGAGCGAGAGGAAGCCGGAGAGAGAGAAAGAGAGACACAGTTAATTGTTGCTGTGCAGCCGCCCAATTGCCGATCATTTGACGATGGCTCACGGGAACGGGACACGGACAGAGGCATGAGTGTGTGCATGTGTGTGAGTTTTATTTTTAAATCAATCGATGCGATAGACGTTTTATTGCTGTAATCAATCGTCGCGTGTAGTCGTGGGGCAGAGCAACGTCGCCTGTTCGATTAATCGTACACACAACACAACTATTACACAGATAGCGTGCATAAGCATTTGGTACACTCCGCGATAGACGAATAGGGCAAACGACTGGTGGTACTCAAACATCTACAATCGAACAGACCGCGACATGTTGGTAAAACACTTCTACTAAAGATTAGTAGCTACTGTTTAAACTTTCAAGTTTTATTTGCATAGATATATGATATTTG